TCCGAGCTGCTGGTCTCAAGAGTGAACAATGGGGCCACTGCTCCCGGAGTCCCCAACTCGGGAGCTCGCGAAAAAGCATAAAACATAATGTAAACGCAATAAAAAGTTGTACTCCTAGTAGCACTGCTCCACAGAGGCCTACAGAAGAAGTATAACACAAAGCAAACACGGAAAGCATGGGGGAAAAAAACAAGAAAACAAAAAAAAGGACAGAGCTGCTGGAACTCGCTGCCAATCCATGCGGCGCCGGAAGTTATACTTGGTTGTCAAATATGTGATTGCTCAGCCAGATGCTGTACTAGATGCCTTTAGAGGACTCACCTAATGTGCAATGTGGTTTTTTTTTTTTTTACTAAAGTGATCTCCCGTCATTGAGTGTGATCTTGTTCTATGATTATGGGTCAGTGTAATCATGGTAATTAACCAACTCTTCTGAGCTAGGCGGAAACTGTATATGCAAGTTTATTTTTGCAACATATCTGAAACATCTCAGAACAGTTTAATGTAGTCAGTATAGTCAACAGCACCACTGACTTCCCTCATTGGCCATCAAAGGTGGAGCCACATTCCTCTGACATTGTGAAAAAAACCTAAACATGATAAAGCGTTGTATGGTATAAGGCTAATCAACTTTTAACGTGTACGTTTTTTAAAAAGTGTATTTAATTGCAATTTTAAAAAATTATTTCCCCACAGTTTCAATGGAGACATGATCCCAGATGTATTTGGAGTCACCAAAGCAGAATCAACTGAAGTCTGCTATCTCAACAAAAGGTAATGTCATTTTCAAACTCACTTCCACTGTTCTGTTTCTACTGTTTTCACACTTTGTCAGATGTGGAGCTTTTCAATTCCACTGTTGCCTTATGGCTTTAGGATTCCAGTGTGGCAGAATGCACTGAGTTCATCTGTCAAAATGCGCATCCCTCACTCCAACGCTTTCATTGACCTCAACAAGGACTTCACTGCTGGTGAGTCATTGATGTTTGAGCAATGTCTAACCATGAGAAACGCATATGAAGTGCTGTGGGGCATTTAGAACACACAGCATACTTTGCAGGAACACATTGTTGTCAAATCTTTGTATTTTCAGCTATGTATGTATATTTTAAAAACTGTCATTCTTCTTTTAAATTCAACAAATCACTTTTAAGCCAGTTTCATAGTAACCAGCTAAACATGTGGAAAGAAAATTAGCTAATTGTCGACAGGGGATTTTGGAGGTTTAAACTGGAGATCATGTGACAATAGGAGAGCAAGGTTTGATTCTAGATTGTTTCTCACTGGAGTGAACAAAACTACAATTTCTGCTTAATATTTAAGTATTTTGAACTGTTATTGGATCAAGTTGATCCTTCTCTGATATTTGGCCACAATTTTTAACAACTGGACAACTGAGCAGACCCTGCTCTCAGAGGTGACTGCCATTACAAGCCAGCTGGCCCAGCCACTGCTTAACCTGTGCAAATACAATGCAGATGCTGTGCGTCAAGCCACATATCTGCTTTTTGCTTGGGTGAGGATAGGATTCAGGGATGTTTTGTGTTAAAAGGGTAGGTTAGGTTTGGAAAATGGTGCTGCTTAATTTGGGCCACTGAAGAGTTAATACAGCATGGCCTGACACCCCCTCTTTGGGCCAAATAATGAGTAAACATCATTTAACTCATATACTGAGCTTCCATATGAATACTCTCCCATTCTTTAGCACTTTTAACTGTGTATTATTGATAAGTAATCTTTTACAATCAAGTCCAGCTTTTTATTTAACTTAACTCCTTTAATGTTGTTTCTATTAAAGATTTTACTGTATTTTGGCAGCAGGATGAAAAAAGTCATTTTGTGATAGTTTAAGAGAGTATGACAGCGAACAACTCCTCTACTAAAATGTTCTTACTCAAGGCACAAGGGAGGGAATGCTAATACATGTTGCCTCTCTTCATGTAAATAAACACTGCCATAGAACCCTGCTCACCTCCCATCAGACCCCACTGTACACCTCACATTCTTGACTGCACATTGTGCCACTGATTAATTACTGAGACCTAATCCACTACTGCATTATATTTTTGTGGCTTATTCCCTCACTATGGGCTTTTAGTGTTTCCTTAGATGGATCCAGTGGTGGGCCGTCAGGGCCAGCAAGGCCTTCTCTGCCAGCCTAAACTCTATCAGAAGCACTGACCTACATTTACAACCTAAATTCTAATATTTGTTCCATGAAATTGTATTAATTTATTCCCAGCAGTCTATTCTCTTCATTTCTCTTGCCTGAAGTGCTTCCAGTACGTGTATGTGGATGTTAGATTTTTTGTCCAATCAGATTTCAGCCTCTATGTGTTGCCATGTCAATCTAATCTGCCCAGGGCCTTCAGAGTCAGTAGTGCTGGCCAATGTAACTTATTAGCAATGGGACTGTTTCTTTAGCAAATCAGATTTCAAATTCGCCTCACAGGGCCAGCTAGCTGGCCTACAATAACTTCCGTCCTCTGATTGCTTGGTCAGAGCAAAACTGTTACAGTCAAGTTCGACTAGCACCTGTAGTGAGTTAGAATTTTTTACGCCCACGATGGCTGACGGAGGAGGAGAAATTGACTTATTCTTGGACATACTTAAAAATCCATTTTCAAGGTGGACTTTTCCAGAAAAGTTAGACATCGTGAGGAGAGGTCGGCCAACCCAAAAGCTAGCTAGCTAGCTTGTCTCAGCCCGGCTGTACAGATTGGCATGTCTGACCGTGACTATCCCTATATCCACTGCAACTGTCGAGCGGACATTCTCTGCCCTCAAGACTAGACAGAGTCGACTCGCAGCCTTGGCCTCCATGGCTATAGAAAAGGACTTACTAATGGAATTGAAATGCAGAGATCACCTCTAATGACAGTCACTGAAATCTTCCTGCGCAAAGAACAGAGAATGGATTTTCTCTATAAATAAATAAATAGCATCTCCGGTGAGTGTTGTTAGATTTTACCCAAATTCTTTTATTGAAAGCGCGAGAAGTGAAGACAGGAGAGGACTGTTTTAAATCAACAGGAAGTTTACTGGAAGTCTGAGTACAGTAGACGTGGACAAAATTGTTTGTACCCTTCTGTTGATGGATCAATAGATGTTGTTAATGTGTTTGGAAAAAGCTAGGTATTAAACAAGACACAATTGAGCTCTGGACAGAAATATACAGTATATCACAGAAGTGAGTACACCCCCTCACATTTTGTAAATATTTAAGTATAGCTTTTCATGTGACAACACTGAAGAAATGACACTTGGCTACAATGTAAAGTAGTGAGTCTACAGCTTGTATAACAGTGTAAATGTGCTGTTCCCTCAAATTAATGCAACATACAGCCATTAATATCTAAACTGCTGGCAACAAAAGTGAGTACACCCCTAAGTGATAATGGCCAAATGGGGCCCAAAGTGTCCATATTTTGTTTTAACACAGAACCATCACATTTGCTTATCTTGCTGTCTTGTTCCACAGCAGCACCCTGTGTGTTTGCTGTAGACTGCTTCATAGCACCCACTACCTTGTTTGAGAGGAACAACCATGCCTGCGTAGATGGGGCGGGGCTTTTACGTATTGACTGTTGTGTACCGTGTAGACACACCCATAGAGGAGATCATATATGTGTTGCCAGATGCATATTTTTTTCCTCACTTCTTTAATGCCTGAAGTGTTTTCTGAGCTGTCATTGTTGAAAGAAAACCCTGTTAACTGTAAATTGCAGTGAAAAGTGTCATGTTGCAGCTGAAAGCATAATTTAAAATTCATGTGATCTGTTTCTTTTAACAAATCTGGGTATTTTATGGTGAAAAGAGCCACAAGAAATGAACCTTAAATACAGTACATTATACTCCATGTAGTAGATGATTAGCATGTCTGCTGATGTTGCTGAGATCTTGGTTTATAAATTCTCACCAGACCAATGCTGACCTCTGTCCTTATAACAAAAACATCATAGGATATGAAGTGATGTAGTTTAAACTTAAGATTTTCAATCATAGCTTTTTTTTTATCCAAAAGGAACTGCAAGAACCAGAAAAGACACCAAAGCATATATTTAATGCCACCAATTTTCAAGTTGGTTTAGGGAGAATGGAATAGTAATTTTCTTCACCAGTGAATGGAGAAATCACCCTGTTCTTGTTTTACAGGATCTCATTCTTGTTCTTCTGCCCACTGGGTGTAGCTTTGTCACTTAGACTTATGGGGAGGATTTTTTCCCCCCTTCTGGGAACTAATCCTACATTTAAGGTAATCAGAAGTAATTTACTCATGTCACACTCGTTGCGGATATCATTTCATGTGGTGTGGTTTTATTCTAAGTCCCAGTTTAACCATTGCTGATTTTACTTCATATTTAATCTATTTAGGGATTAAGTTAATAAATGTACATTTTCTGTGGCAGATGTAAAGAAATCCTGTTAGCAATTTTCTGGGGTTTGTTTTAAGACCTGCCTGCAAGTTGGCTGTCTTCTTTGACTCTTTTCGAAAAGCACCGTCTGTCTCTGCTGCAGGACTCACCTCTTACTTCAGTTGCCCTACCCATGTGTGCACACACAGCCTAACACAAATGTATGAGCATAGTAATCATTAAATCCTTGTGGCTTCTTTAGTGTGTTCAGCTGAGTTCAGTTTGTGGATAAATGTGCTGCAGGAATATAAATGCATGAGGAGGAGAAGCGGTGGAAGAAAAACCCGTTGTACAGCTGGTGTATGTCAGACACTTTGGCTGCCACTGTCCTCGGGGGCATGCAGATGGAGGGAGAGAGAGAAGAGGAAAGCAGGCAGGAAGTGATGGAGACGTAAAGCTGAATCAGAGAGTACGAATAGTTTGAAAGAAAAGGATGGTGAAAAAGATGAAGGGCAGAGGAAGGGGGATAAGCAAGACAGTGTGTCAGTCTTCAGCACAGTTCATCTTACTGTCTGCTGTGACCACCTGCTGCTCTAAGCAGTATCGGCTGGAGCATCACACTATGGCTTAAGGAAAAGAGTGAGTTTGGAAGGCAATCTGGATGCTAGTCAGTTTAAGATAAATTAAAGTTGGAAGCTTATGCTGATAGTACTTCTCAACTGCTATTAATGTTTTTAAAGAGTCATGGTTTTGCTGTATTGTAATTAATAAGATAGTTAAAATTTTCACCACAGCCTCAATGAATGTGGCCCTAATAGTAGTGTTAATGTTTCCAAGTATAAAACAGTTGAACACAAACTGTTGCTTTCAAATAGGCCAAGTAGCTACTGTATAGGTGTGCCTAATAAATATACAAATCAGCTTTGTATATTTTCACAACACTTAGAAAGAAAGGCCCATATATTATGCTGTAACTGTTTCCAACATCAGTAGTGCTGATTCTAGCATACTTGTGTATGTATTTGCATTTATCATTTGCTCTCAGTGTTCAGTATTTTTGTTGATGTTTACCAAATGTTATCTGAGGCATCTTTAGCCATATAATTTTCTAACTCATAGCAATTAAAAATGTCTTAAAATGTGCAATATTAATGGGTATTAAATGAGGGTATATTAATCTTATTTAAGACAGAGTTACTGTAACTTACTATAAGTAATACGTGTAAAACACTTAAAAATGCAATTTGCATAAACAGGGACATTTTTAAAATTACACAAGGCCCTCAAAGGATCTGGTGTAGGACAAAGTTTCTGTGTAATAATAAACTTCAGTTCAGTAATTTGTTTTTGCTTCTTTGGCTTATGAAGGAAGTGCAAGTGGAGCACATCTTGATGAATGTGCCTAACTCAATCTGATCATTGACGGTCAGTCACAGGACAAAGTAAAACATGAAAACACAAAACAAATTAAAACTAAGTTAACATTTATAATGGAATTTCCATTAATTGGAGTCTGGTCAAATTGGGACACATTTTCTTTTATTATTTTGATCAAGGAAAGCCCTATCTGTCCCCTCTCTTGCCTACTGTACCAGTAGAGTGATACAAGGAGGTAT